AAGCATGTAAAAAATGCAAGTAGAGAAAAAGGAACCACCTTTGGTGAGAAGGTAACAGTGTTCTGTGCACCTTTGGCATTTAGGCATGCCAGCCACATGATCATGGAGACGTCTTCGGATAATGCTGGCTCTTCGGCTTTGAAACGGAGATGAGCACCACCCCGTAGAGTCAGGAATGACTAGCACATATGTGCAAGGGGAACCTTTATCTTTACCTTAACCTTACAATAAAGTAGAATTAACCATTATGGAACATGTAGACTTTCTGTGAGAATTCCCTGAAGAAGCAGGGACAGCATTCTTGCAGAGAACAGTGAAGTCTGGCTAATGAAGTCTTTCTGGATAAGGAAGGATCATGAGATTGCCCACTTTCACTCCAGACACTGCTCTCCTCAAGTAGAATGCAGAAAACACATTTTTTGTGGTGAGCTCATGAATTGAATAGCTGGGAGTCAAGAGTTTTCAATGAAGTCCACAGTTGTATTGCAACACTTATGGACACAAAAGTTTTAATGAGCCTCATTTCTTAAACACTTATGGATGTAGTTAATTTACAGAACATCTAAGGAAATAAAATTTACCTTGTATTACAGAGGAATAAAGACAGATTATGAATGGACCTATATACAAATAAGACAAGTTTTTAAAGCTATTAAAAATATTAAGCCAGGAATGGTGCCGGGACTAAGTGAATTATCAGCTTCTTATTATACATGTTTTGAGGATGAACTTTTACAATCTTTACAAAATACAATGAACTCTACCTTACAGGAAGATGCCAGAGAGTTGGAAAGAGATCAATATAGCACTAATACCTAAAGTGGAACATGATTTGACTTTAACCAGAAACATTATCATTTTGAGATTATAGTATGCTCGAAGATGGGAAAATTCAGCCTTACCCACAATAGAGGAATGGTAGGTGAATATGATGGAAACACTAGCTAATGTGGCTTCATTAATCAGAGAAAAGATAGTATCTACATTGATTGCTGACTGGAAATCCCGTGCGCAGCTTTTGCATAAAATAGAAACAAAATGAGCTAATCATTTTAGTTTTGATGATTAAATAAGACAGATGATAGAAAAATGACAATGATGTTGTAACCATAAAGGGGTAAATTTATCATTGTAGTTATAGCTGCTTCAAAGAAGATCGTAAGCCATTTCATTGTATCTTTTTTCCTTTCTATTCTATTTTCCTTCCCTCCCCCCCGTTTCTTATACATTTAGCTTTCTGTTTCATTTCTTTTTTTCTTTTCTTTTCTTTTCGTTACTTTACATTATTTCTCCCATCGATCCATCGATTGTGGAATGTGCATAGAAAAATGAGAGCCCCAGAATATTGGACTCTGGGCACCTTATAAGGTTTTTTTTCCATAGACTGCTTTAATCAGGGAATGAATGTGGATATAATTGTAGGCATTTTGCAATTGGAAAAAAAAAACCTATTTTCCTTTATAAAAAGATAGGAAAGAGTTTAACATACTCCATAAGGTCAGAGACATTCATCCATGTTGTGCTTTAAATAATCACAAAACACAAATGCCTCTTGGCTGGGTGGAGGTTGGTCTTTGCGTTACAACTTTCTACTACCTTCATCCTCTCCCTTTCTGCCTTTACATTAAAAATGCTGAATTGGTTATTTGTTTGAAGCTAATGACGTGGCTTGTGGTCCATGCTGCGTATTTATAAATTGGTTTCCCAAAAAACAAGTGCAATAGATATGTGTTCTGACCGCCCCCCTTCTCCATCCAGGAACGAAAGCCAAAAGCCACGTAACAAGATAGTTTCTTTTAATCAGTCCAAGCTCTTGTTGGCTGCAAGCCCAAATAAACAAAGATAATAGCTCTGGCAGAAAGTCCTATAACTCACACTACAATGCAAACCAGGATTCTATATATCCAGCCACTTATCCAAGTTAGCTTCTCTCGATATATGAACGCAAACGAGGAATGTTGAC